CCCCCAGACTTGCGCCCAGGGGCTGTTGGGCTCCTTCGAGACCAGCCCTCCCTCCTCTCTGAGTCCGAGGCTTGGGGGTGGAACCCAGCCTGGTCCAGCTCCTTCTCTTTGCAGCTGTGGTTGGCTTGCCTTCACCCCCAGACCCCCCCCCCCCAAAGCTCCCCTGCTCCCAGGTCACTCCCAGGCCCCCTCGCTGAGGCTCCTGGCAGGAAGTTCATTTTCACCCTTTCCAGCAGCTTCCAGCGCCTCCGTCATTCACTCAGCCTCCAGTCAGCAGACACTTACAGGCACCCACGTAGCCAGCCGTGCTGGGTGCTGGGGGCGAACTGGAGAGGCAGGTGGACACCCTGACCCTCCATCTACCCGCCCCCGAGCTCCCCCTTCCCACGGGTAACGTTCGGGGCACCTCCCTCCAGGCCCTTCCATGGGCATGACTTAGTCTGACCTTTTAAATGTAGAAATAGGGTCGCACAGTACAGCGCCTGGCAGCCTGCTGTTTGCAGCTCTCGCCGTGTCTGGCGGGTTGATCTCTGTCATCACCCGTGGGAGAGCCTGCCCGTCCGTGGGCACATGGACCGTTCCGTGGCCCAGATGCTCCACGAAGTTCAAGCAGCCCCGTTCGCAGCCGAGGAGTGGTTTCCGGTTCCCGCCCCGCACGCCGGGCTGCAGGACCAGGACAGAGCGGCCCGTCCGGGCTTCGTGTCCTCGCCCACGTGTGTCCTCGGGACGGACCCCCCAAAGCGGAAATGTGAGGCCGCAGGGGCACATGTTACGTGTTACATGTGCCGCCACATTTCCCACCAGGAAGGCTGCGCCCCACGTTCCGATGACGAGTGTCCTGCACGCTCCGCCCTCCGTGGGTTCGCCAGCGTTCCCAGGGCCCTGTTGTCATATTCTGCCCAGAGATTCCGGTTGTTTCCGTAGGAAGGAGGGTCTGACGGGAGCCCCTCCGCCGCCAGAAGCAGCGCCTCCTGATTTATGTTCACACGCGGCCGCTCCTCGCCCCATCGGTTTTTAAATGCCTAACAAGCTGCGGGCGGCGGGCGGCATCATCGCTATTTAATGTGCATCTTTCATGACCCCCGAGAGAGGACGTCCGCCCGTAACGTTTCCAGTTACATCGACTGCTCGTCCTGAAAATGGCCTCGTTTTCCTTTGCTCTTTATTTGACTGTTTTTAAAAAATGATAAATGAGCCATGGGCTGCCTCTATATCATGGGCCAGTAACCCTCAGCCTGTCACGTGTGTGAATAGGAAGGTTTGGGGGAGAAACATTTCCCTTTCTCTCTCTCTCTCTCCCTTCGCTCCCAGGCCAAGTGCTCCTGAGAGAGGTCCGGCTCCTGTCGGCCCAGCGCGGCCTCTCCCCGCCGGCCTCCTGGGTGGAGACTTGCTCCTGTCCCCAGGGATACGCGGGCCAGTTCTGTGAAGCCTGTGCTCCGGGTTACAAGAGGGAGACACCCCGGGGGGGTCCCTATGCCAACTGTGTCCCCTGCACCTGCAACCAGCACGGCACCTGTGACCCTAACACAGGTGAGTGTCCCGGCACCCCGTCGGGGCTGCACCCAGAGCGGGTCGGCTGTGTGCTGGGTCGGTGCCCTCCGAACACAGTGCCAATCAGGTGAGTCGCCAAGGCCCTCCACGCTCTGGGCACCGTGTTAGCCACCACATCACTGAATCCTGCAAACCCCCCGGGGGATGCCAGGGCCTACAGGGTCACCTCTACCTGGTGAGGGGCCTAAGGCGCAGGGAGGCCACATGGCCAGTAGGTGGCAGAGCGGCTCCTCCCACAAGCTCACTGCCTGCGGTTTCTCCCCATTGACCGGAGAGGAAACCCAGAAGGACCTCCCTGGAGGTTACTGGGCAGGATGTGCTGGACGGGGCTGGACACAGGCCTCTCACACAGGTCGTGGGGGGCCAGCGCCCTGCTGCTGCCTGGGAGCAGGCGGGGTCTCAGAAGGGAAGCCCCTGCTCAGCTTTCTGCAGGCCCCGTCGGGAGCTGACAGAGGACAGGCGCCTGGGAATCAGCAGATTGGCCAGGAGGATGCACATACAGCATAGGCGCCTCCGCCCGCTTGTGCCCATGGCAGGCATCACCAATCAAGCCCAGATGGGGGCTCGTAATCCCTCCCTGCAATGCTCCAGGCAGCCCCTACCGAGGAAGCAGAGCCCACTCATGAGATGGGACCAACCTGTCATCCCTCAGATCCCCTGGCCGTGCCACGCCTTCCTGCCCAGCAAGTCCTCGTGTGTCCAGTGGGCGGGGCCATTGCTATGCACCCTGGACAGAAGGAGGCGTTATGAGCGTGTGGGTGCTGGGCCAAGGCAGGACCGGTAGAGAACAGGGCAGGCGTGATGGTTCCCTTTGGATCCCCCCCTCCACCTCTACCCAGTTCCCTCTTTCCCCTGTGGCAGTCTTGCCAACCAGGCTCCTGGCCCAGTCCCTGGCCGGCGCCTCTGTCCCCAGAGTCCCCCACTCTGAGCAGACTCCAGGTGCTGTGGGCTGGAGAAGGGGTTTGCAGAATCCCCCACCACCAGAAACCTGTGGGCCGGGGGCCACTGAGGACCCACAGACCCCATAAACGGAGCCTCATGCCACAACCAGAATTCTGGGTCTGTCACTGTCCCATTGGGCCCCTGCAGTTAGGAGGGCACGGAGGACGGGAAAAGGAAAACTGCGCGAGACATTAGCTGTGCTGCCTGCTGCTTCGGTTAGAGGTTTGGGAATAGAATCTAAGAATGATAACTGATAATAATTCTGCGTGCCAGGGACTGCGCAGAGCACTCCGGCTGCATTAAATCCTGGTGGAAACCTTCGAGGTCAGAGCCCAGTGGAGGTTGTTGTACCCATTTTGCAGATGGGGACACTGAGGTGTCCTCAGTTAGACTGTTGGCGCAGGTTCACTCAGTGGACGTGAACCCGAGGTGGACTCTTCATCCCCGGGCCCTGCTGCCTCCTTGGAAGGCTCCCCCCTGTTCTGCTGGGACGTGCTCTGTGACCCCCGCCACCAGGAGCCCGCTCCCTGTCTCTGGAGTTTTCTTGGCTCAGACAGTGCTAAACAGGTGCTTATCTTGTCCCTCAGGGATCTGCCAGTGCGGCCACCACACCGAGGGCCCGTCCTGTGAGCGCTGCTTGCCAGGTTTCTATGGCAACCCCTTTGCAGGCCGAGCCGACGACTGCCAGCCTTGCCCGTGCCCTGGACAGTCGTCCTGCACGACCATCCCAGAGAGCAGGGAGGTGGTGTGTACCCACTGTCCCCCGGGCCAGAAGGGTGAGTGGCTCGTGCCCTGGGTCCTGCCCCTGCCTGGGCTCCCGGAGTGGGGTGCTGGGTATGGAGTGGGGCAGATGAGGGAGGGCCGGCTTCGGGGTGGCAGGCTTGACCTCTGGGGACAGAGTCCCATGGCACCTTAGTCAGGGCCCGGCTGCTGTGGGTTCCCAGCAGAACTTGGGCCATTGAGCATATCCAGGTGAGACTGTGAAAATCCCCATGACTGGGCCCAGGCCCCACAGAGCCTGGCTTAGCGAGGGATGCAGCTCAGGAGTCTGTATTCCTGAGTTCCCTGGCAGGTGCGTCAAGGCAGAAAACCTCTGGTTGTACTTGCAGCCTTTAGCCCTGGTTGGTAGCTCAGTGGTTAGAGCATCTGCCTGAGAACCATAAGGTCTCAGGTTTGATTCCTGGTCAAAGGCATGTACCTGGGTTGTGGGTTCAATCCCTGGCCCTGGTCGGGGCCTGTGCAGGAAGCAACCCATTGATGTGTCTCTCTCACATCCAAGTCTGTCTCTCTTTCTCTCTCTCTCTCCTCCTCCCTCCCTCCTTTCCAATCTCTCTGAAAGAAATCAATGGAAAAACATATGCTCGGGTGAGGATTAACAAAATGAAAAGAACGCTCAGCTTTTAGAAAATGCCAGCCTCTCCCGATCCTCATTCCCACGCGGACGCAGCCCGCCCTGCACATCCGAGTTTTTAACCAGCTTTGCTGGGATAGCACTCACGCGCCCTGCGATTCACCCACTTCAAGTGCACAACGCAAGACTTTTTTGGTTTATTCTGTTATTAATTTTTTCAAATTATGGCAACATATGTAGCATAAAATTTGCCATGTTAAGCATTTTTTTAAAATATGTTTTTATTAGTTTTATTTTAGAGAGAGAGGAAAGGAGAGGGAGAGCGAGATAGAAACATCAATGATGAGAGAGAATCATGGATGGGCTGCCTCCTGCACTCCCCCTATTGGGGATCAAGCCCCCAACCTGGGCATGTTCCCTGACCAGGATTCGAACCGTGACCTCCTGGTTCATAGGTCGATGCTCAGCCACTGAGCCACGCCGGCCGGGCTTAAGCATTTTTAAGTGGACAGTTCGGTGGCATTCACTGCTCTCATATTGCTGTCCAACCATCACCCCTTCCTTCTCCAGAACTTCTTTTACTTCTTCTTTGTGTATTTCCATCCTGACCCCGCGGCCTCCTTCCCGGACCTCACAGCGGCCTCCTGCCCTGGGAGCTGTCCTCTCCCAGGTCCAAGCGAATGGCTGGTTACCTGCGGGACCTCGGCCTTCATCACCAGCTTCCATCTCCTCCTGCCCGCCTTACTTCATGTCTCTCTCAGAGTCCCGGGGCCAGGCACCTGCGTCTCCCCTGAGCTCCGCTCAGACCCCGCTCTTCCCATTTTTTTCTTTTCTTTCTTAGTATTCCTCCCCTCCATTTTCAAGGTTGCCTGCCTTAGTCATGTTAGCTTGACTCCAACTGAACGATGAGCACTGAGGACACGGGGACTCTCTTTCGCGGTGACAGTGGCTGTTAATTAAATCATAAAGCGAGTAATACGCATTGCAGCGATCGAAACCGCCCGTAAACGCGTAAAGAGGAACATAACGGGCAGGCAGCAAGAAGACTATGTGCCCGTTGTCCCGCCGCCCCCAGGGGACCGTGGGACTGTGAGGTCTGTGGGTCCCCCGCCGTCTGTCTCATGCAGATATATACAAGAGTGGGACGTGGATGTTCCTTTATTCCCATCTGTGTCCAGAGTGGACCTCCCAGGTCACAACCCGCCAAAAGCCTCCTCAGGCACCACCTTTCCTGAGACTCCCAGGGACCCTGAGGCCTGGGAGATGGGGCAGCAACCCCAATTCAAGCCCCGGAGGCAGGGCAGGAGCCGGAAATCAGCCGTCCAGAGGAAGGTCAGGACCCCGGGAAGCAGGAGAGGTAACGGGAGCAGGAACCGCAACGAGGAAGCAGCCACAGCTCAGGTGGGACGTGAGGGAGAGGAGGACGAGGAAGAGGGTGGCAGCAACACTGAAGATGGTGACAAGGAAGATGATGCAGAGAGTGACGGGGAAGACAGTGATGAAGATGAAGATGATGAAGATAATGATCAAGATGACGATGAAGACGATGGATGATGATGATGACAAAGGTAATGATCAAGATGAAAATGGTGACAGTGAAGTGACTGATGGTCAAGATGGTGATGAAGATGATGATGATGAAGGGGACAAGATGGTGATGAAGATGATGATGACGATGACGAAGGGGACAAGATGGTGATGAAGATGATGATGATGATGATGACGACAAAGGGGACAAGATGGTGATGAAGATGCTGCTGCTAAGGAAGGGAAGGGGGTGCTCATCAAGATGAAGTTCATGGATGATGATGAAGAGACTGATCAAGATGATGATGATGGTGGTGGTGGTGAAGATGATGGCCAAGGTGCTGGTGAGGAGAACGGTGATGACGACACGGGTGATGGGGAATAGATGTCAGCCACTGCTGTTGACCATTTACCGTGCCGGGCCCTGTGCTAGGAGCTTTGCACAAGTGATCTCCCAAACCTCTCAGTCCCGCCCCACTGTGCAGATGAGGACCCCGAGTTCAGAGACGCACAGTGACTTGCCCAAGACCGCACAGCCAGCTGACGGCTGAGCTAGGCCCCGCCCCAGGTCAGCTGACCCCGGAGCCCTCCCTCACCCCTGTGGACCCGGCAGGCTGGCCTTCCTCGTCCCTGCTCCTCCACACAGGCCCTTTCTTCCCCTAGGACGGCGCTGTGAGACCTGTGACGATGGCTTCTTTGGGGACCCGCTGGGGCTCTCTGGGGACCCCCAGCCCTGTCGGCGGTGCCAGTGCAGCGGGAACGTGGACCCCAACGCCGTGGGCAACTGCGACCCCCTGTCTGGCCACTGCCTGCGTTGCCTGTTCAACACGACAGGTGCTCGCTGCGAGCGCTGTCAGGACGGCTTCTACGGCAGCGCGCTGGCCCCGCGGCCCGCGGACAAGTGTGTGTGTGAGTCCCACCTCCTGGCCAGCCGCCGCTCAGCGAGGCTGTGCAGCCTCGGCCGGTTCCTCGCCTTCTCTGTTTCTTGTCCGGAAAGTGAGAGGGTTTGCTCTTCTCCACGCTCTCCCTCAGCCTGGGGATCTGGTCAGCTCTGTCCTGTGATTTTCCTCCTGCCTCGGTCATTAGCGCTCAGCTCCCTCTCCACAGGGAGGTCGGGGGACTGTCCTGATGGCCTCGGCGCCTGTCACCTGCCACATTCCCCTGCCCCTGGGCCCCAGTCAGGCCGTGCCTTCTGGCTGCGATGTGTCTCCTTCCCTCCTACTGCCTGGTTAACACGCAGCCCGGGCCCCCGCTCAGAGGGCCGAGGTGCACACCACCCGGGGAAGGCTCCAGAGCGCTGCAGGGAGTTGCTCAGGGTTTGCCCCAAACTTGCTCCTGGGCCCTTTCTCCAAGTGGCACTTGTCAGCTCTCTACTGGCCTCTTGTTTTATGGGGCCCAGGGGAGCTGGGTCGAGTCCCAAAGAGCGGATCCAGGGGTCTGTCTGCCTGTGACCCGCGACTGAGCCTCTGGCTTCTCTCTAGCCTGCGGGGCCCAGGGCAGGCTCACAGGGCCCGGGGCCGCCTCTCCAAGGGTAGATCGCAAATGGGCTGCGATGGGAGCCTGGCCCTCGAGCCTCCTGTCACAGCAGCATGGGAGTCTGGGCTGACTGAGCCATCTCTACGGGCTGCCCGTCTTCCCTGCACCTCCTGGACCCCAGAGCTTGGGTGGATGATCTACATGGTTTCCCGACTCCCTCTCCTGCTCCCACCCCCAGCCTGCAGCTGCAACCCCGGGGGCTCGGTCAGTGCGCGGAGACCCTGCGACCCGGTGAGCGGCCAGTGCGCCTGCCTGCCTCATGTCACCGGACGGGACTGCGGCCGCTGCAGCCCAGGCTTCTACGACCTCCAGCCCGGGAGGGGCTGCCGGAGGTGGGTGGGGTGAGGCTGTGGGTGCACTGCCCCTAGGACCCCCCACAGGGGAAGGAAGCAGCAGGGGGCCCCCAGAGAGGGGCCTGGCTTGGAATGTGCATCCCAGGCCCACTGCCAGGTACACAGTGTCCTACCCTGAAGGGGGACAAAGGGACAGTCCCTTGGGGGTCAGGCTCACGGCCCTGCCAGCCCAGGATGCAGGCCAAGAGCATTCCTAAGGGATGTCCAGGTGGGCAGGGGGCCGGTTTGGTGTCGGATTCCCTTCTCAGTGACGCGTCGTTCGGTGACTTTTTGGCCACAGCAGCACCTCAGGCAGTGCCTTTGGGGAGCCGTGGACTCCAGGGAATGCCCAGGGAAGCAAACAGAGTTCTGCTTTGCGTGACTTCTCAGAGCCTTTACTATGCTGAGTGCCTCGTGACTTTCCATAGGGGCACAGTCTCCAAGGGGCATATGTTCCTGCAGCCATCATATAGGTGTGGGGACTGCCTCCCAGGGCGCAGCTCAGGGGAAGCTGTTGGACATGGACCGACATGGAGATGGGACCTCGGGAGCAGAGGGAGCGGTCCCAAGGCCCCTCCCCAGCGGCAGCAGCGGCAGCTGGGCTGGGAGTGGCCCCGAGCTCACTCACACCGGTCCCTCCCTGTCACAGCTGTACGTGCCACCCGCTGGGCTCCCAGGAGAACCAGTGCCACCCCGAGACTGGGCAGTGCCCCTGCCGCCCGGGCGTCGAGGGCCAGGCCTGTGACAGATGCCAGCTGGGTTTCTTCGGCTTCTCCATCAAGGGCTGCCGGGGTAAGGAAGCCAGGTCCTTCCTGGCTCCCTAGAGGGTGTGGCCTGGGGTTTCTGGGCAAAGAGGCCCACGGGGAGGTGGCTGTGCCGCAGGAGAGAGAGGTCAGACCCAGGCAGGTCTCAGAGCAGACGCGCAGTGCGTGAGCGGAGGGTGCCGAGGGGCCGGGATCCTGTGGACAGGCCCATGCCTCACCTCTCTGGGCCTCAGGTTCCTTGCTTGTGAAGTTAGACTGCGTGGCAGTTCCTCGGATGCAGGAACTCGGAAACAAGTCGGCATCTCGGTCATCACCTTTGACCTCTGACCCGGTCTCCGGGGAAGGACCCAGGAGTGTCCTTGAGCTGCCCAGGGGGGTCTGGAGCAGCCAGGTGTGAGGCTGCAGGGGCTGGGGCTCCAGTGTGGGTGGCTCTCAGGACACTCAGCGCCATCTGCCTGTCCTCCCCACCCCCACCCCGCAGCCTGCAGGTGCTCCCCGCTGGGCTCCGCCTCGCCCCAATGCCACGAGAACAGCACGTGCGTGTGCAGGCCCGGCTTCGTGGGCTACAAGTGTGACCGCTGCCAGGACAACTTCTTCCTCACGGCCGACAGGGCGCGGTGCCAGGAGTGCCCGTCCTGCTACACCCTGGTGAAGGCGGAGGTGAGGCCGCCCCGCCCAGCCCCGCCCACCTCCAGCTCCGGCTGGGCACTGGGAACTGCCCGCTCATCCACAGTTCTCAGGATTTCCAGGGCCACCGGCTGCCTCCTCCCCGTGCCCACCCAGCCCCCTGGCCCATGCCAACCTGGGCCAGCCCCCACCTCTGCCCTTCCCCTGCTCCTCAGTGGACAGCAGCTCTTGACCCATTTTCTTGCCGACCACCCCAGTCTCACACTTTCTCAAGGTCAACGGGAATGAGGCCACAGACGGCCCTTGGGGACGGTCAGGAGGGTGATGCCCACGCTGGGCACAGGGAGAACTTCCAGCAGGGAGGCGTGTGGTGCGGGGTCAGGAGCATGAGCGCGGGGCCCCTCCCCAGCCCTGTCAGTTGTCACGTGCCCAGGCAGCTGGCAGTCTTGCTTCAGAGTCTCTCTCCTCCAAAATGGAGCGAGTTCAGGCCTGCAACCCCTCACCTGAAACCCGTGAGGCAACTTTTGGAAGATGGTGCCGTAGACAGAAAAGATGACCGAAGCCGAGTATTAGGCACCACCCCTGTGCGCCTGGGCCAGCCCCCCACCAAACCCAGTGGTGCACCCGCAGGAAAACAGCCGAATATGCACAATGAGGGGGCAGTAATGCCACAGGAGCCTCCTTCAGGGCGGTTCTGCTTCCAAATGAGTTCACGGTTATTTAACCCGATTTTGCCGTCAAATCGGAAACGGAAGGCCTTATGGTTTTTCAGAGCCTTTTGAACTTTTGAATTGAGGAGGGGCTGGGGCCCTGACACCCCTGCCCCTTAGGGTGGTTACAGGGTGAATGTGAGCGGGTGTGTGGCCGCGGTCGCCCCCAGCTGGCTCCCAGCAAGCGCTCTGTGAATGCATACGGCCCGGGTGATTGTAAGAGCGGTGCCGGGAGACGCTGCTTAGCATTCTCACGCAGCCAGCAACTTCCCAGGCGCCCCTGCTCTGTGCCAAGTCCTGGGCAGACAGCAGGCCAGGCAGGAAGTCTCCTGGGCTCCCCTTCCCAGCCCCCTTCCTTGGCAGGACAGAGCTGTGGTGGGCTGAATGCCTGCAGGTGCTGTGGGTGGGGGAGGGAAGGGGCAGCTCCGAGCATGGGGTGGGCAGGGCTGGTTCTCAGAGGTCTAGTGTGTCTTTAGCTGTGAGGCCCAGGGACCCTCAGGGAGGGCATCCCGGGCACAAGTCGGGGGGCGGGGGGTGGTGTCCAGGCAGTGTCTCCTTCCTGTCCCCTCCAGGCTGCCAAGCTGAAGGCCAGGCTGACCCTGATGGAGGGGTGGCTGCAGGGGTCTGACTGTGGAAGGCCCTGGGAACCAATGGACTTTCTGCAGGGAGAGGCCCCTCGGGGGGACAGCTACCAGGGCCACCACCTACTGCAAGGTACAAGGGGAGGCCGGGAGGCAAGGGGAGCGCTGGCTGGTCAGATGCCCCCTGCACTCTGGTCTCCGATGCTTGGAGGGCTCCCAGCTCCGCCCCAGAGAACCCACTTGCTGGGAGAGCCTGTCTGACATCCCTGCCACTGTGGGCTCCTCCCACGACACAGTCCTGCCTCCCCATGGACCTCTCCTCCAAGGCCCTTGCCCAGTGGTACTTTCTTAATATCAGCCTCTTCACTGTAGCATCGGTCCCGCCCCCGGGCCCCACCCAGACTGTCAGCTCAGCGAGACTGTAAGTCTGGGTTTGTTCTCTAATGCACGCACTCAAGGCGCTGTCCCAGGTGCTGAACAGGTGTCTCCCTGGCGTAGAACACAAATGAGTAGATATGGAAAAAAGACTGTTATGAACGCCAGGTGGAGTTTGGCCTGACACACTGAAACTTTGGGAGCCTTGAAGGCAAATTGATTACTTTGTGAAATGTCATGTTGATAAATACCCATACTCCTTCAGCAGCCAGGCACAGGTGAGCTGAGCACGGTTAGTAAAACCAATGACCAGAACAGGGAGCTGCGTGCTGCAACGCCCATTCTGAGCCCCGCTGCCATCTGCATTGCTGACTCGAGGCGCTTTTAGTGCGGCCCCAGGTTTGGGAATGTCTTGTGGCTCTAGAAGGTCTGGCTCCTGCCAGTTCCCTGTCTGCGGCTGACTTCCTGTGTGCGGGACCTTGGGTGCCTGGGCCTCAGCCTTTGCATCTGTGAAATGGGAAGGCTCTTCCTTGGGACCTGACTGGTGGTGCTCAGGCCTGGTGCTGGCAGCAAGCTGTGCCCAGGAAGAGTGGGGGCTTCAGTGTGAAATCTCGGCCGCTCTGTGACCCCTGGGTTGCGGGCTTTCTGCAGGGTTCCGGGACGCCTTCCTGGTGCAGGTGACAGGCCTCGAGGGTGCCGTGAAGGCTGCCCGGGAGCAGCTGCAGGCGCTGAGCAGGGGGGCCCGCTGTGCCCAGGCCGGAGCCGACAAGACCTGCATCCAGCTGGCAGACCTGGGAGTGGCGCTGGCGTCCTCGGAGGAGGAGATCCTGCACGCAGCCACCGTCCTCGCATCTCTGGTACCCGGGGAGCGCCCTCCCCACCCTGAGCCCGGGCACCGTGCCTGTGGCCCCGGGGATGCCTCTTTTCCCTTTGGGGAGGCTCGGTTCCTCCCCGGCCAAATGGGAGGCACAGAGAGCCTCCTCCGCTGGTCCAGTGAGGTAACGTGCCGGGAACAAGGCATAGCGAAGCGGGCAGTGAGTGAGTGCCCGCAGGGGGTGGGGGTCATGACACACTCCCACGTCCGAGGGCTCTGCTCCCCGGATGCTGACTGAGAGCAGCATTTCTGAAGTAACTGGTGCTGCCCGGCTCTGCCCGGTGACTCAGCCAGGCGTGGCCCCTTGCCCTGCAGGGCTGGGCCATCCGTTCTCCTCTTTTCCTCTTTTCTCTGAAGGTGGTTCCTCAGGAGGTCCCCGGCCAGCCCACCAACTGGAGCCACCTGGCCACAGAGGCCCGGGCCCTCGCCAGGAGGTGAGCCACGGGCCCTGGGAACATGGTGAGGTCCTGCCCCCCCTTATGAAGGGAGCCCAGCCCTTCTTCTAGGGGTGCCAGGGTCAGGGTCAGCCCCACAGGTGTCCCCCCTAGGAGTTGGAGTCAGGTGAGGACAAGCGCTGCCTGGTTGGGGGAAATGTCGCCCCCATGGGAAGGATCGGTGTGAGCACCTCCGAGATGCCAGGGATGGGGCTCAAAGGAACCTTGGCCGACCGAAGGCACCCAGGACATCCACTGTCTTTTTTAAAACAACAGCTTTATTCAGATAAAATGTGTGTATCCTAAAATGCACCCATTTAAAGTGTACAATCCAGTGGTTTTGAGTGTATTCACAGAGCTGTGCAACCAACCCCACAATCATTTAAAACATTTCATCACCCCAAAACAAACCTGTACCCTCACGATCACTCCCCATTTCTCTTAAACCACCCCAGCCCCTGGCGACCACTAACCTCCTTTCTGTGCCTATAGACGTCCCTGTTCTACACATTTCCCATAAGTGGGATCACACAGTCTATGTCCCTGGCTTATGGTTTCTTCCAGTTAGCAGAATGGTTTCAAGGATCGCCCAGGTGTAGCATACCCAGTACTTCATTCCTTTTTGCAACCAAGTGATGTTATTGTATGGCTATGACGCGTTTCGTTTACGTCGTCCATCGACGGACGTTGGGGCTGTGTCATCCACTGCCTTTAGGAAGCAGCTTAAGGTCCTAAAAACCCAGAACCTGCCGCAGTCTTCCCCTTTGGCTGTACTCTAGGGACCTTAGACCCATTTCACAGATGAGAAAACAGATTCAGAGACGTTAAGCGACTTGCTTAAGGACACACACCTTGCAAGTGAGAGAGTCGGGATTGAAACCCAGGCTCTCTTGACCACCCTCTTCTATGCTGCCCTCATTAGGGTGACCACACAACTTATTGTCCAAGGTGAGATTTCATGGGTGATACAGGGTCCTTTCCTCATTCTTCCAGGACAACAGGTACACGCTGTGTAACAGGGACAGGGATGTGCCTCCCCTTCCTGTCCGTCTTCGTCACATGTCAGGCAGAGAGGGCGCTGTTCTCTGGGGTGGCAGGAGGCCCAGGCCGTGGGGGCTGTGGGTTGGCGCCAAGGCCCGCTTCCTTGTGAGCCCTGGGCCATGGTCGGTGGGTGTTTTCATTCAGCCACAAGGACACTGCTGCCAAGATCACGGCCACTGCTCAGAGGGCTCTGCGTGTCTCCAACGCCAGCTACACGCTTCTCTGGAGGCTGGTGGAGGGCAGCGTGGCTCTGGAGGCCGAGCGGGAGCTGGAGGACAGGTGAGCCCTCCCGGGAGTGGGTGGGAGCTTGGTTTGTCTCCGGAATCTGTTGGTTCCGGACCTGGCCGGAGGCTGTTGGTTCCGGACCTGGCTTCCTTTCCCTGACAGGCTATGGGGCGGGTCAGGATGTGCGGGGTCTTGGGCCCGATTGCTGGTGTCACAGGGACCCACACATGCGTGGGGGTGCAGCTCAGCCTCTGCAGAGAAGGACAACAACCTGAACGAGGCGGACCCTCTCTCACCTGCAGTAACCCCAGCCCCACCCCATGTCCCCGAGACAGCTCCCCTCCGCCACCCGCTTCCATCTTGGCCTCTACTTCCCTGCTGTGGTGGCCTCTTTATATCTCTCTTGGTCAGAGGGTCAACGGAGACCCGCCAAGATCTGCCTGAGCCCCAAGGGGACTTCCTAGATGGGAGAATCTGATTGGTCCAGCTCAGATCAGATAGCCAGCCCTGAGCCAATCAGCATGGCTGGGTGGCCCACTCCTGTGGGGGCTCTGGCTCTCGGAGAAGGGGTGAGGGATGGGAGGGAGCCAGGTGGAGGTATCCACCCTAGCAGTGCCCATGGTGGGAGGAGCTGGGTGGGGTGGGTATGGGCAGCTGGACAGGACAGGAGAGCTGTTCTAGTTGGTTGATTACAGCAGCTCAGGGCTAAAAGGCCACAGAGCAGTCATGCAGCCCAGGGGTCGCCATGTCCAAGGTCACCCAAGGGCACAGCTGAGCCCAGACCCAGCCTGGGCCGCTGCCCCTTTCCCAGCACCAGGCATCCTCCTCCTTACGATTCATCCAGAGGAGCCAAACATTTGCAAAACGTGTGGTTCTCAAGTGGACACCAAGTGTGAGCCCTTCAGAAAAGCGTGATTGAATTGAGTGAATGAAGGAACAAGAATGTGGTCCTTCTACTGCCGTTCCCATTCATTCGAAATCGGCAGAGTGGCGGCCAGTTTCTGAGGCCAGCTGCTGGTCCCCATCCACAGAGGGAGGGGAAGGCGGAGAGGCCTTCGAACATCCAGGGCTGGGGGAGGGGCGCAGGACCGTGATGGGGAAGGGAGGCCCTGCGCCCTGTTCCTCGGGCCACCTTGACTCTGTCTCCCCTCAGGTACCAGGAGGTCCAGGTGGCCCAGAAGGCTCTGGGCACAGCTGTGGCAGAGGCGCTGCCCGAAGCGGAGAGGGTGCTGGCCGCCGTGCAGCAAGTTGGCGCAGACGCAGCCCCGCACCTGACCTCGCCGGCCGCCCCTGCAGCACTGGTCAGCTTGGCCGCGCTCTGAGCTCTGCTCGGGGTGGGACGGGGAGAGCGTGGCAGCTGGGAGACCAGCGGGGCCCAGGGAGAGGCAGATGCTGAGGCTTATTTTTAACCGTCGATAAAAAACAAGATAATCCTCCTCCAGGCTTGGCAGAGCGCCCGCCTGGCAGAAAGCAAGGGCTTGGCCCATCGAGGCTGTTGATTTCAATAATAATATGAAGGCGGGCTCTTCTCCATCACAGCACCTTAGCAACGGCACCAGGCAGACTTGGGATGGATCCCAGCTCTGCCGCTCTAGGTGTGACCTTGGCCTGGCCTGCCTCTCTTTGGGCCTCAGTTACTTGTCTGTCAGGTGGAGCTGCATGTCCACGGGGAGTTGGGGGGATTGGTCAGTAATGCATAGGTGACCCTCAGTGGGTGTCGGCCTCGTCCCTCTGTCACCCTACACGTCTCACCTCTGGATAAATTAGCTCCATTGCGTCTTCTCAGTAACCCGGCCATCCCAGAACTCGGGAACTGAACTTTGAAAAAAGCTAAGCTTATAGAAATGCATTTGGGGCGAACCATGGGCAAGACGGACCGGCCCGGCTGCTTACGGGGATCTTGGCTTCTCCCCGCGTGTGAAGGGAGATGCGGTAGTGATGCCTGTAGAGAGAGACACCGCTAGCGAAGCGTTCGGCCCTAAGCGCTGGTTTCCCGATGCTGCTGAGGCTGCTAGGTAATGCGCAGCACCTGCCGGCGATGCTCCTCTAGACCCAGAAAGTCCAAGTGGCAAGTGCACCAGGCCCAGGTCTCAGCTGAGTGACTGTGGACCTGGGGAAAGAGCTGCAGGTCAGGGAGGTTAGCTGGTTTGCCCGAGGCTGCAAATCCGGCCTCCAGAGACAGGGCTGACCCTACTGCTGCCCGGTGTCCACATGCCCCTGGTGCCTCTCACCCGGGAGAGGTCTGCCCCGAGGCCCTTCCTGCCAGGTCCTGCCTGAGCCCCCATCTCCCTGCAGCCTCAGAATTCCCGGACCCGGGACCTGAGCCGGAAGGTGCAGGCCCTGGAGAAGATGGTCACATCCAGGGAGCGCGTGATCACTGAGGCTGCCCGGGCCCTCCAGGCCGCCGCCCGCACCGCGCTGCACAAGGCGGAGCCCCTCACACAGGTGGGCGTGTCCTTTGGGGCAGGCCCCTGGGGGAGGTCGGGGCTGCCAGGGGTGTTCTGGGAGCTGGGTTTCAGGGACGGAGGGGCAGAAACCAAAGTCGTGCTTTTCATCCCTCCAGTGCCTCCCCGCAAACTCTAGAGAACTCACAGCCAGCCAGGGCAGGAGACAGATGGACAGAGAGGGCAGGATGGACAGACACACGGCAGCACCCAGGGCCATGCCCACCACCCTATTCAGCATTAGTTACAACTGGGATGGGTTCTCTTCATTTGTTCTTTCATTCACTAGTTCACCTGCCCAGTATTTCTCGAGCACCTACTCTGCTCATATTGCTGAACCACACAGGTTAGCATTTGCAGCCCAGAAAGGGAGGCAGTCAAATGAGGGAATCCATCCATCAAATCCATATTCTTTTTAAAAAATATATATTTTTTATTGATTTCAGAGAGGAAGAGAGAGGGAGAGAGATAGAAACATCAATGATGAGAGAGAATCATTGACCGGCTGCCTCCTGCACGCCACCCACTGGGGATCGAGCCGGCCACCCAGGCATGTGCCCTGACCAGGAATCGAACCCTGACCTCCTGGTTCATAGATCAACACTCAACCACTGAGCCACGCCCGTGGGGCCAAACCCATATTCTTTATCTGGTCTTGCTTAGTGGCGGGGGAAGACACTGATTTTCTGTGGTGGAAGTTGTACCACACACAGATTTGCTCCGTGAGGCACAGCGGCGTTCTGAAAAGAAATCGCTTGTCCTTCCTGCCCTTTGCTGTCATGTTTGTTTTCCTGCAGGCTTTGCGGGGCAGGTAACTTCTTGGGAGAGATATTCAAGGCTTAACATTTGTGTAATAAAACAGACCAGGTATTCTTGGCAAACATCATCACTGTCAGAGTTTAGGTGACGTTTGGGACCTAGTCTAGTGGGGTTTGGTGCCCAGCTGACCGGACTCCAGGCAGCGCACCTGCACGCCACCTGCCAGCCTCCCTCTTCCCTTTCCAGCTGCAGCAGGAGGCCAGAGCCGCCCGGACCCGGGCTTCCTCATCCGTCCAGGCTGCCACAGTGACCGTCATGGGAGCGAGGACCCTGCTGGCTGACCTGGAAGGTATGCAAGCCTTGCTGAGCCCGAGTCTCGTGGACGCACAAATGCCCGTGACAACCAGCTGAACGGGCTGGGCTGCAGGGCTAGGAGTCCAGTCAGGTAACCAGGCAGACAAATGCCTCTGTGGGACCTCTCCCCATCTCACATATTACTCACCAGGGACTTGTCCACGTGGCCATCCCTCACCAGACCACATGCAGAGCCCTCAGAACCAGGTGGGGAGAGAATCTGACGCCATCAGTCCTGGTCTGGTCCATCCTGGCCAGGGCTCCCGTTACCTGGGACACACGTGACTGCTGTGGTCCAATGCGGAGTTGGGGCTACGGGGAGGGGCACGGTTCTTTAGAAGGGGGTGTGGGTGGATGCCAGTCCAGGTCTCTCTCTGAGCTTCAGGAAAGTGAGGCTAAGTGCTCCCGTTTTGCAGATGGATAGACTGAGGAGAGGAAGTGCTGTCTGAATAGAAACCAGCCAGTATTATAGTGCTCACCTTGTGTCCCCCTGCATCGTGGGCTCCTGTGATGTCCTCTTTGCTCCGCCCCCTCACCCTGTATTTGTGAGCTGGATAAGGCAGGAACATACTCCAGGCCCCTGATGCCTCTTAGGGTCTGAGACCAGAAGTCAGGCCTCTGCCATCATCTCGGTTCCTCGGCCTCCCTCCCCAGCCCCACCCTCTGCCCAGAAGCTGTGGGCCCAGACCCTCTGGGCAGAGGGTGAAATGGGAGCGCCTCCTATTCCCTGGGCTCCTGTGTACGCTGAAGTCCCATTGGTCAGAGGGCTTCCCTTGGGAAAGGCGTGGCCGTGTGTGCTTGTCTGGATTCATGTTTAGGAGAATGTAAACGGGGTGATAAATAAGGATGGAATATTGGGACTTCAGGACATTATAAGGGTGTCGCAACCCTCTCACCAGACAGGAGACCCATCCACCCGTAGCTAGCTTGCCTCCGGTGGTGGTGTGTCCCTACCTCATGAGGTATCAGCTTCTCATTGTTGGGTGGTTCTGAGCGTAAGAAGGTTCCTGCAGGCACCAAACGGAAATGCGCCTCCCTGGCACTGCGTCGTCACCCCCCTGGGGACCCACTCAGACCTCTCACCCCAGCTTCTCTTCCCCACTCCCAACCCTTTTCAGAGACACCCCCTCTTCCCACCAGCCGGCCTGGGCTCAGCTGGCATTCAGGATGGAAGGGAACTCGGCCTTCCCCAGGGCGCGCTCAGGGCCCCTCGCCCACACTGTGCTCTTCCAAGAGAGGGTTTGTGTTCAAACAGGTTTAGGAAACGGCTTGTGCCACAGGCCGTACAGGGCACAGCTTAGAATAGCAAAGGCTCTGAGAAGTCCTGCAAGGGAGAAGCCTGGTTCCCTTTATTTTCTCTTCATTGGCATTCCTCCCTGACATGGATGAACACCCTGAGGAGGTCACACACATCCCATGCATCGCTGCCTTTACTCGTGTTGTCTGAGGGTCCGGGGCTGGTCAGGCATCTGCAGGCTCTCAAGCCACGAGCTGGGCCCTCCTGACAGCCTCGGCCGGGCTTGCAGGAATGCAGCTGCAGTTCCCTGGGCCCAAGGACCAGGCTGTGCTGAGGCGGGAGGCAGGCATCGTCCGCGGCAGGCTCCTTGCGGATGCGAAAAAGACCAAGCAGGCGCAGAGGATGCTGGGAAACGCGGCATCTGTGTCCTCCAGTGCTGAGAAAAAGGGCAAGGAAGCCGAGCTGTTGGCCAAGAACAGCGCCAAGGTCAGGGACACGGATGTGATGACGAGGGTGTCCCCGTGGGAGAGCTGCCCCTGCAGACCCGCCCCGCCCCTGGATGCAACGCTTAACATGCCACACGTCCGAAGGGCTCATGGGTCCCGGCTCTGAGCTCTGGCGCTTCACATGGGTGATTCCTCAAGACATGGGTGTCATTGCTGTCCCGGGGCGGCTGAGGGTCCGGACCCAGCTGGTTCCGTAATTTAAATCACGTAACCGGGACGCACGCAGGTCTGTTTGGCCTTATTCCCTACACCTCCAGGCTGTTCCTTTTTCATTGGGGCCCCGGTTCTGGCTGATCTGTGACCCCTGTTGGCGTTACCCCCACAGTGGTCTCACCTCTAAAGGAGGGACTCTGTTCACCCTCTTGCCGCCCTGTCACCCCCCATAGCTCGCCAAGGCCTTGCTGAAGGAGGGGGAGAAGGCGCGCGGCCGTGCCAGGCGGCTCTCCAGCCAGGCGCGGGCCACGCTCCGGCAGGCCTCCCAGCAGGTGCTGGCCTCGGGAGCACGGAGACAGGAGCTGGAGGAGACTGAGCAGGTATGTGTGCCCAGGCCGTCACCCTGTCCTCCGGCCCCGGAGCCAGCAGGAGCCCTCAAGTGCTGCCTCCTGCCTCCTCCTGCAGGTGGGTGCTGGGCTGAGCACGATGGAGCGGCAGATCCGGGAATCACGCGCCTCCCTGGAGAAGGACGTCAAGGCCTTGTCACAGCTGCTTGCCAGGCTGGGTAAGGGGGGCCCTGGGGCCCCTCTAGGATCTTCCTGTGAGCTCTAGAGGGTAGAGTGCCCCAGCTATTGTCCCTGTTATTCATTCATTCATTTACTCATTCATTCATTCATTCATGTTGGCACGATGCTTGACCTGGGAATGCAGGAGTGAACAGCACCACCTGGACCCTGCCCCTGCCCCTGGGTGTCTCAGATAAGCAGGGAGAATGGAGGCTATAACCCAATCCTGCTTCTCCTCCAAGGCCAGGCTCCTTAGACTCCCTGAGGACAGTGGGCCTCTCCAGGTCTTTGCTGAGAGCAGGACCTGCCCGGCATCTGAGCTCAGCCCCCTCTGTTTCTCCCTTCCCCTGGCTCAGCTCCTGCGCTGCCCGCCCTTCCACGAAGCCTTCCTGCCCAGGAAACTCGAGGCCTTAGGGAGCCAGGGCCCAGTGGGATCCTGTGGGATGCCAAGCCATTTAGGGCTTACCTCCTCGTCACCTGGCTGGGCCTGGTCTTCCTGTTGACTGTCACCCATAATGACAAGGGCCAAGTGGGTCAGGCAGCCTGTGGACTCTGTGCCACCGTCACCACCCAGTTCAAATGTGAGCACCAGGCCCCACCCCCTCGTTTGAGTATTGGGGAGGCTCCAGGAAGTAGCGCTACCCCACGCAGGGCCAGGGCTAGACGCCCGCTGCCTGCCTCACTGCCCGCCTGGCCCCTGCATCCTCCCACACCCACACGTGGTCTCTGTAAGTGTGCGCTCCTGCTGGGTGGATGTGGCGGGTTGGAGCCTGCAGGCATCATGGGCCTTCACACACACCACTGCTTTATGGGTGAGGAGACAGGCTCAGGATTCACCCAGGGTCCGCTTTCTAAACAACAGTAATAATACCACCCACAAAAATTCACAGTTGCCCACCTATCTGGGAACATTCCGAGTCTGCACATGAGCTTGGTGGGGTCCCCAGACCAGGCCGTCACCACAGTGCCCTCTCAGGCCCTCGCCTTCCTGGTGGATTGTGGGCAGTCGGAATCCTGGAAGGCTTGGACTGGGCAGGGTCTCTGCGGTGGGGCCAGGCAGGCTCCTGGGGCTGCAGGGAGCTGGCCCGCACTGAGGCTCTCTGCCCCTCCGCAGAGTCACTGGACACCCATCGAGCCCCAGCCCGGGCCCTGAACGAGACCCAGCGGGCCCTGGAGCGCCTGAGGCTGCGGCTGGGCCCGCCCGGGCCCCTGCAGGGGAAACTGAGGCTGTTGGAGCAGGAGTCTGAGCAGCAGGAGCTGCAGATCCAGAGCTTCGAGAGCGACCTTGCCGAGGTCCGAGCTGACAAGCAGAACTTGGAGGCCATTCTACAGAGTCTGCCCGAGAGCTGCGCCAGCTGGCAGTGAGGCTCCGGGCCAGGCGCACCACACCCGCAGGTGTGCCCAGCGCCTGCTGCTGCGACCTCCCCAGTGGACACCCTCCGAGGCCATGCCGTGGCCCTGCTCCAGCAGGAGTCATGTGCATTCACGGTTCCCCCGGCGTGTATACTCAGGTTCACCACGGTGTACACTCCCCCATGCACACATAAACACGCACACCTCAGTGTCAATAACACAGACATACATGCACGTGGACATGTGTGGACACATGCCTGTGTGTGTGGTGCACACATGTGCGCAAGTCCATCTGTGCACGTACACATATTAGAGTCAATCCACAGCTGCTTATTGAGCGCCACTGTGTGCTGCACACCCTCTGGATGCTGGGAGTTGTGTTATGTTAAGGCCACTGTGGCGTTAACAGGCCACTCTCGCTCCAGGTGGGCACCTGGGAGGCCGAGGGGCGTCTGCAGAGATCTAAGGTGGGTTCAGCAAGAGCCAGAGCCCCAATCCCAGAGTTACCCTCTGTCCTACTGCAGCCCTCCACCCCCACCACCCCTACACACACACACACACACACACACACACACACACACACGCAGCTCTGTACAACCAAGGGACAGGCAGGCCAAGAAACACAGGATCCTAGGGGGTTCTAGCAGTGGAGCCTGAGGCCCGGGACTCCTGGGGCCACGGTGCAGCCTGCTGGGCCTGTGGGGGTGGCCCCGCCCTGCGGGGATCATTGCTTCATGGGACACTCCGTTCTCAGGATCCACGAGCCCCTCTCAGCCTGTGGCCTGTCCACAGAGCTGGGCCTCAGGGGCCAGAGGGGGCCTGGATCAGGGGGCTCAGCTCAGGTAGCAGGGAGCTCCCGTTGTGACCTCACTGACCCCAGATGGCCTTTGACCCGATCGACACTTCCCAAACCAGCCCTGTGGCTCTGGCCCCGCCTGCCAGGAGGGAGGCCCTGCTGGGTGTGGAGGCCTGGCTGCCTTTCCAGTCTGTCCTGCTGGGAATCCCCCTGTGGCCAGGCCCTGCCCGCCTCTGCCCAGGATTCCCTGGCATTTCCTCCTGGCACTCCTCCCCTTGCCCCGGGCCCTCTTCCAACAGATGGCAGGGCCTTGGCACCGGGTGCCCGCAGGGGGCCCAGGCCCCTCCCACAGCTCTTCCTGCCTCCAGCAGGGGGACAGGCAGCGGCACTTCAATTCTGTTTAACGTGGAAATAAAGGACCTCTTTATTAGGCGGTGGTTCTGACTGTGGGTACACACACACACACTCACACACACACACACGTGTGTGACACCCAGTGCCCAGGGAGTGGCAGGAAGAATGTACATGGATCTGCCTCGGCCCACACACAGCAGGAAGGTGGCAGAAGCTGAGCCCACTGGCTTGGCAGGGTCTTCCCACTGGGGGGATTTTGCTGGGACCACAGGCATCTATCTGCCCTCTCCCCTCTGCTCCAGGGGGCTTATCAGGCAACGTTGAGGGGCTGGAAGTTTGAAGGGTGGGGTACAGAGAGCCCTCAGCTGACCTCTGGTTCCGTCTAAAGACACCAAAGCAGGAAATGAACTCCAAGTGTCCAGCAGCAGAGAGGCTAGTGAGGGGGAGGGCCTCGGGGCAGGTCCGGGGGGGGGGAGGGGGGACTTGCCAGGCAGGAGGGTGGGCAACAGCCCAGGGTTGGCAAGGTCCCTCCGGAAACAGGTCGCATGGGCAGGACTCTGCAGCGCTCAGGGCTCCTGGCCAACGAGGCCTGCGCGGAGCTGGCTGAAGCAGAAAGGAGGAGTTCAAGTCCGAAGGACATGGGAGGGTCCCCTGGAACCCTGGGTGGGAAGAGCTGCCAAGCCTCGGAGGCAGCCGGGCCGAGTGGCCTCCTGGCTGCTGGGCTGCGATGGGAGGCTTCCCGCTCTCTGGTCTCTGCCTCTGCTCCTGCCTCTTTGCTTCGCCTTTTCTCTCTGCAGAGCAGCTTCTTAGCTTCCCTGCACTTGATGACGGAAGAGGCCCACCGCTCCCTCCACCTCCACGGCACCCAGCTTACAAGTGGTCAGGTCAAATCCTTGGCAGAAACCGGCTGGAAACTGTCCTGCTTCCACCTTCCCAGGAAAGGCCGCCCCAGCTCGGGCCAGGTCCCCGCCCCTGCTCAGAACAAGGGTCTCTGTATCCCAGGCCATGTAGTGAGGGCTGGGCTGTGCCCGCTCCAAACCTGCGGGGTGCGGGCATTCAGAGAAGAGGTGTGGTCCTCCACAGAGAACCTGCAAACCACCAGGCTGGGCGGGGGAGGGGACCTGGCAGTGACTCGGTAGATTTGGGAGGGAGACAGGGGGCAGGGAGGTCAACACAGGAAGCTGTTGCTCTCCAGTGAGTTGGATGATTGGTGTCTGGTGTTAGGTGGTGCCAAGGAGATGGGGGTTCTTTGAAGAGCTCTGGGGCAGGGTCTGATGCCCCCAGGCCCCTCTTCCCCCACCCCCACCAGCTTCTCTGCTGACAGCCTCTGGTGCCTGCTGTTGGCATTAAACCTTTACCTGCCAAGCCCAGTCCCAGCATCCCCGACGGGTGGAGAGCAGGCCTCCTCTCCATTCCACAGCGACGTTCCTCGGGCCTGACATCTCCTGAGTCACGCGGTCCGGTCGTGCTTGCTGTTGTGGACACACTCTAGCCCCAGAGGTGGGGCTGCCCCTGGTGGAATGTGGCAGCTGTTGAACATCTGGCCAGCAATGCAGCCCAGCAGCCGAGCAGTGGAAGGTGGGGTGGCCCCTGCCCTGCAGAATGGCGGATCCGGGGCCAGCCAGCCCAACTGGCCATCTGAGCTTTGCTCTCAGTGGCCTGTAGGTGAGACATCTCCCATCAACCGAGGGTGGTGACTCCTAAGCCTGCTTCCCTCCAAGCTCTAAGCCTGCTTCCCTCCAAGCTCTGCCACCCGCTTAGACCCTGAAGGTCATGTTATCACAGCCCCTGCTGGTGAGAGGGGCTTGCTTCCTCCGTTCTGCAGCCAGGAAACAGGCTCAGACATGTCAAGTGCCTCATCCAAGGTCACTGTTTGGCCAGATCCAACCCTAGGGGTGAATGAGGAAGGAGAATTCCTGGAACCAAGCCCCAGGGGACATGCTCAGTGTGTGCGTGTGTTGGGGGGGGTGGGGGGAGAGCATCACTGGTGACCAGGTGCGCTGTTTGCCCAGGGCAGTCCCCGTCTGTGCCTGTGACGCCAGGTACCTGTGACCCAGCGTCATTGTTGGGAGTACCACCTCTCATTCTCAGAAATGACCCGGTCTGGACAGGAAACTCCAGGGTCACCCTGTCACTCCTGCGTTCCTGCGCTGTCCCTGCCCCCAGTGCCACTCCTCCCGAGCTCGAGGCTCGGTGCACCTCCAGGTGGATTGCACTGCAGACTTCCACTTCCCGACTTCGCTCTTCTGTGAAATGGGAGTGTGAGTCCCACTTCAGAGAGTTTTTAGAATAAATGACTTAACTAGATCCGGTATTGATCCCGTGCACAGTGAGTGCTCAGGAAAATCGGTCGTATTAACAACACACAAACTCATTCTAATTTTTTTAAAAACATATTTTTACTGATTTCCAATAAGAAAGGAGAGGGAGGGATAGAAACATCAATGATGAGAATCATCAATCAGCTGCCTCCTGCACGCCCACACTGGGGATGGAACCCGCAACCCGGGCCTGAGCCTCACGGGGGAATTGAACCAGGACCTCCTGGTTCGTAAGTCGATGCTAACCACTGAGCCGCACCAGCCGGGCTTGTTCTAATTGATTTAGTGTCGCTGATGTCCCAATGGCACTTTGTCATTATGCATCTCCCCTCACACAACTAAACGGTTTATATTTTTCTTTCAAGAGTAAAAAGTGAGGACTGGGGGCGCACAGCTCCCTTCTAAAAGTGCACACTGCGCATTGGGCGCTAGTAACGTAACGGCCCCGGTGGGTGGCGCATTCACTCCCGCCGCTGCCACCCGCCTTGGCTTCTAGCAGCTACTCCAAGTGTGCGAACCAAGAGCGCCCCCGTTTACTTTACGGGGAGCCCGCGGCCCGCAGCGGGCAAGGGACTTGGGAGGGTCCCGGGAGGAGCAGAGAGGGAGGCGCCCACGGGCGGCCCGCGCGTGCATTTTCCGCGGCCTCCAGCAGAGGGGCGGCCGGCGGGCCGGGCGTCCCGCATAATAGCCGCTTTGATGCCGGCGGCCCGGCGGCGGGAGGGGAGGGAGGCGGGCCGGAGGGGAGGCCGGGAGAGGTGTGTCCGGCCGCCCGCCCGCGCCTTCCCCCCGCCCCTCGGAGCTGCCGCCACACGCCGCGGGAGCTCGGACCGGGGCGCCAGTCCCTCCTGCGCGTTCCTCGCCGCGGCCGCGAAGCCCCAAGCCGG